CGGTCCCACTGTGCCCACCTCTCAGCATGGTCTGCTGCTGCTTGGCAGAGCAGATGAGGCGGCTGATGCCTTCGATGACTTGGCTCTTAGAATCCACCTCCTTTTCTCGAGGCTTCTTGCTCAGGAAGATGGTGGGAACTGGAAAGCAAGCAGGAACACGGCTGTCACAGCCCCTGGTAAAACAGCCCATCCTCACCTCCCCCACTCCACTGTCCCCTCTTCCTGAGGAAAGGGAGGTGATTTATGGATCTTGGAGTCCCTGCCCTGTCACAGCCTGGGTCTCTCCCCACCCCCAGGCCTCGAGATCTTCATGTTTAGTGAGGAACTGGGCCAGATGGTCTCTGAAGTCACTTCCAGCTTGAATGTTCTAGGCAGCCTGGGGGGCACCGCAGGCTGGGCAGGGAGGGAGGCTATGCAGCAGTGTTTGCACCAGCGCGGCCTGGGAACTAGCTCTGCCTGGGATGGGGTCCTTGTTCCACTCTTGCTTGGGAAGAGGCAAGAACAGGACTGCTGGGCTGACAGCCCACCCACGCAAGTCTCAGGGTGCAGCTGCAGGTTTTGGCACAGCCCCTGCAGCTCCTCAGGGATCTCTGGAACAGAGGTATGAACAGAAAGTGGCCCAGCTGCTTTGGGAGAACAGGGAGCACCCAGCAGATAAAGGAAGCCTCCTTCCCCACAGCTGGGGAGGTGGGTGCTATGAGGGCCCTAGAGTCACAGCCAGATCTGCAGGTTTACAACCCCAATTGACAGCAGCAAGTGCTGCCCCAGCACTGGCCTGGTTGTGGGGGTTCCTGCCTTAGTCTCCCACAGCACAGGACCCAGGGCCACCCCAACTCTTCCTCTGGTGCCTTAAGCCACCCCTCTCATCTGAAATGGGCTGTATTCCCCTTAAGTCTATTTTTTCCTCACCCAACGATATGTTTTTATTGACTTTATTTTATTTTTTAAATAGTTTTTATTGATTTTAGAGAGGGGGAGGGAGAGAGAGAGAGAGAGAGAGAGAGAGAGAGAGATCAATGAGAGAAACATCGATCGGCTGCCTCCTGTATGCTCCCACTGGGGACCGAGCCCGAAACCTACTGGTTCACAGGATGACACCCAACCAACCGAGCCACACTGGCCAGGGCTGCTTTTATTGATTTTAGAGAAAGAGAGAGAGGGAGGGAGGAAGGGGGGAAGGGAAAGGGAAAGAAAAGGGAAGAAAGGAAGAAAAGAAAAAGAAAGAATAGAAAGAAAGAAGGAAAGAAAGAAAGAAAGAAGAAAGAAAGAAAGAAGAAAGAAAGAAAGAAAGAAAGAAAGAAAGAAAGAAAGAAAGAAAGA